CATTTTGAAATCGGACATCGTTACACCATAGAAATGGTATTTCTAAATCTTTTAGCAGTCTCCTCCCCCTTAGCGGGGGTGTCATATTACATAAAATGTATTACAGTCTTTTAGAATCAAAACTTTTTATGATCTTGAGAGAACTTGATAGATTTGTGACAGAAATGCATAAAAAAAATTTCAATGGCGTTTGGGTGGCACCCGGTGGCTGTTTTTGGTATAACGCCTAAACAAAATTGCATATGAACTTCAATTTTTTTATATCGACTTCAAATTTGGAACACAACTTATGTAGACATATGGCTTTAACTTTATAGCAATTTTGTATTTTTTACTTTTTTCAAATATATTTAATATAAAAGAAAAGAAAAATAGTACAATACATTTTGTTTACAGTAAATTTAAACTTCTATAACTTTTTAATACTTTCATTTTATTAACTCATTTCACTTCTGTAATAATCTGCTAATTGTCTTCTTTAAAAAGAGACCAACCTTAGGTCTGTATTCAAAAGCGTTCATGAATTATAATAATTTAAGTTTGGATAGTGCACTTTCTCGTGAATTTTCAAAAATGGGGCTGACGGTTAAAGGGTTAGTTCACCCAAAAATGAAAATTAGGCTGTTTTACTCACCCCCGAGGCATCCTAGGTGTATATGACCTTCTTCTTTCAGACGAATCCAGTTGGAGTTATATTAAAAATTGTCCTGGCTCTTCCAAACTCTATCATTGCAGTCTGTGGGTGTTGTAGCGCATCAGTCCAAAAGAAGTTAAATAAAAAGCGCCCATGCATAAAAAAAAAGTGTCTCACGGCTCCGGGGGGTGAACAAAGGCCAACTACAAACAGTACAAGTACAAAACGAGGATTTGTAAAGAAGAATGTCAGAGGATTTCGATATAAGCCAAGAGGAGACTGGTTTTCCTTTGCTAAAGTAAGGAAGCTTCCTTTGCTCCTGTTAACAAACGTTGGTTTTCACGAGACTCACCGGCAGAGGCGGACAGTAGTGAAGTATTTTTACTTTACTCAAGTAAATTTAAAATGATCTGTAGTTTATCAGAGTGTTTTTCTTTGGAAAACTTTTACTACACTACATTCCAAAGCACAATGTCATACTTTTTACTAGGGCTGTGTATCACCAGCAAAGTCACGATACGATACGTATCACGATACAGGACTGCACTGAATTTCCCCTCAGCAGAATTTAGAAAAACAGCTGTTTATTAAACACTGCTTACTATAGTGCAATTTCTAGCTATTGGCAGAGCAGCAGCTGACCTCTGCATTATGAAGGGCCACTATAACTGTACCACAGTACAATAAAGGTAATGGCACATGTTTCATGTTTACACTGTGCACTCCCCACCAGGTACAATATTCTGATTGTTTGCATCTTGTTTTTAAGCCCATAAATAATAATGTACTCCTTCTAATACATTTATATTGTAATGTACTCATTCTAATATGTTTTAAAAAATAATTTACATTGCTGGTAGGTTATCATTGCACAAATTAACACACACTCTACAATAAAAAAAAAAATTAGAAGAGTTCTAAACTAACGCGCTGTCTTCACTGTATCTAACGCTCACACGCTCAAGGCTGATTTAAGGCTGATTTATACTCGAGCGTCAGCAAGTTCGCTTTGAGTGCGCGCGACATCGTTTCGCGTGGCGGTGTGGACAACATTTTTTGTAACTTTCCGCTCCGCTCCGCTTCCGAGGATGCACGAGTTCAAAGCTACTCTAGCCGAACGTGCACGTCTGTGCCAGCATTTGTGTGAAACAGAAGCAGTTTGATGTTAAGTGCAGTCACACACACACAGATCACGCTGCGGCCGCACTCAAACATTCAGGAACAAACTTTTTTGCGCTGCCCCACAGTTTTATCAACTAAATAGCTTAATCGCTACATTATCTTACTCAACAATGAGCTGGTAGCATCATTGTTTCTAAAGGAATTAAAGCCACAGCCTTACTGTTAATAGAGAAACGCGGCAAAACGGTGGTAATTCATACATACACAGTCTCTCTCTCTCTCTCTCTCGCTCTCAAATGAACACTTGATGAATCACACTTTTCTGAGAATAGACTTGAAGTGGAGATAGCTAAACTGCAAGCTAACCGCTGTTTTCAGAAAGCAAGCACGTTTATCCAGTGGAGAGAAAGAACGTGTGCACAGGGTTGCCAGGTTGATAAAGATAAGTAGCACGTTTAGCAGATATTTCTGTAAGCTCTGTTTCGGGGATTACGTCTCTTTATATCAAGCAAACCTATTGTGTTCCTCTGCGGCCAGATTATTAACAGATGCTCTATTCATTCTTTTTTAGAAACCTCGCACTTTTCTACTAAATTTTAAACGTTGTAAAATTAAGCGTGGTCCACTGCTGCACACGTGCCACCATATCCACAGATACTCATATCGTCAAATCTCTGTGACGATACATCGTCGTATCGATATTTTGAACACAGCACTACTTTTTACTGCACTACATTTCATAAATAAAAGTTGTTCGTTTTACCTTTCATACAAAAATTTAGTACTTTCTTGTACTCAAGTAAATCTTTCAATTACTTTTACTTGAGTAAAAGAAAGAAAGTAATAGATTTCTAATGTAATTAAGTTTGAAATGATACTTAATATGAAACGTAGTGCAGTAAAAAGTGCAATATTATGCTTTGGAATGTTGTGACGTAAAGTTTTCTGAAGAAAAACACTCTGATAAAGTACTTTTACAGCAGAGTAAAAATGCTTCACTACTGCATGCGCAGCACTGAACCCATACGTCATCCGCCCGGAGCTGCTTTCGTGTACAACAGTGAGCGCAAGCTACATTAAAGTGATTATTACGTTTTGAATATGGATATTTTTCTTACAAAAAACGCATTGATTCGCTACAGGAGGCCTTTGTTCACCCCCCGGAGCCGTGTGAGACACTTTTTTTTATGCATGGGCACTTTTTATTTAACTTCTTTTGGACTGAAGCACTGCAACACCAGCAGACTGCAATGATAGAGCTTGGAAGAGCCAGGACAATTTTTAATATAACTCCAACTGGATTCGTCTGAAAGAAGAAAGTCATATACACCTAGGATGCCTCGGGGGTGAGTAAAACACAGCCTAATTTTCATTTTTGGGTGAACTAACCCTTTAAGGGGTTAAAAGTAAAGAAGGGGTGAATATCAGCTGCCTTTCAGTCAGATAAAGACATCTTTATTCTCCCAGTGAATGTCTGCTTGCATAAACAGGATCCCTTCTGGACTCACACACACACACACACACACACACTCACACACTCTCACACTCTCACTCTAACACTCTCTCACACTCTCTCACACTCTCTCACACTCTCTCTCACACACACACACACACTCACACACACACACACACACTCACACACTCACACTCTCACACTCTCACACTCTCACACTCTCTCACACTCTCTCACACTCTCTCACACACACACACACACACACACACACACACACACACACACACACGATCGCCGGGCATACTGAGACGTCAGTCACGAGGGGGATTATTGAGAGCTGAATGAACTCTCGTTAACAGATGTACAATCCAGAGACTATTTCTCAGTCAGAAGACGTGCAATATTACAAAACAAAAGCCTTTCAATGACGGTTCATAAACAAAATTAATGAATTTCAGACAATGTGAAATCGAAAATGACTATTTACTTTCTTAATGTTGTTGGTGCTGATGTGAACGATACATTAGTGCACATTATTCTAAAGAAACATTTTTTGTCTTTATAATCTTTTATCAAAATGTAATAACTTAGAATCTTTTTGCTTATGTAAATATGAAAGTAACCAATAATATCAAAATTTTAAGATCAAATCAAATACACTCATACATAAGTTAGATAAGTCAATATTTTTGAAAAAAGTCTCTGCATTAATTAAATAAAAAACAATAAAAACATTGTAAAATATTGTTACATATTAAATATTATTTCAAACAGTTTTCTATGTGAATATGTGTTAAACTGTAATGTATTTCTGTGATGCGCAGCTGTATTTTCAGCAGCATTACTCCAGTCTTCAGTGTCACATGATCTTCAGAAATCAGTATAATATGCTGATCTGCTGCTCAAGAAACATTTCTGATTATTATCAACGTTGAAAACAGCTGTGCTGCACAATATTTTTGTGGAAATACATTACAGTTTAACAGATATTCACATAGAAAACAGCTGTTTTACATTCTAATAATATTTCACAATTTTACTGTATTTTTTGATCAAATAAATGCAGCATTGTTGAGCAGAAGAGACTTCTTTCAGAAACAAAAAAATCTTAATTATTTCTTGTGTTATCAGAATATTGATCTAAATGTGTGTGTGTGAGTGTGTGCGTGTGAGTCTGTGTGTGTGTGTGTGTGAGTGTGTGCGTGTGTGAGTGTGTGTGTGTGTATGTGAGTGTGTGTGTATGTGTGTGCGTGTCTGTGTGTGAGTGTGTGCGTGTGAGTCTGTGTGTGTGTGTGTGTGTGTGTGTGCGTGTGTGAGTGTGTGTGTGTGTATGTGAGTGTGTGTGTGTGAGTG